CATTGATTCTAGTCTGTGGTACTAGAGGCAAAAGAGTCATCATGTTCCTTACTCTCACCCATTTCATCTTTCATATGCTACTCTCTCACACACATAATTCCTTTCCTCTATACCCTCACTCATTTTGTTTCTCTACAGTTTCCTTCCACAAAATACAAACTTTGAGCTTATTGATGAGATTCACTGGAATCTCATCATGAAGGCTTTTTCTTCTGTAATGTAGTCAGATCACTAAAGACAAGAGTAGTTGGTTGGTGCCCGTGCTACATGAGGCAAAACTTCCTTACAATGGTTTGAAATTTTCTTAAAAAATATTAAAACCTTAAAGGATTATCTCTTGATATTTCTCAATGCCCTACATATATCTACATAAATCTCTAAGAAAAGCGGTTTTTCAGTCTTGGATTGCTACCCATTGGTAGGGTCATGAAATCACTTTAGTGGACCATAACAACACTTGAAAATTAAAAAGAGCGTCGTAATATGGGCAATTTTAGATTTCATCCCCCAAAAGCTAGGAATTGTTTACAAAACACTCCTATTATGTTCATATATTGCATAATATGTACAACATAATTTTTCTGGTGTCTTTTTTAAGGTTTTTGCTTTGTTTTGTTTTTAAGAGAGAGGGGAGGAGAGAGTATGTGTGAGGCAGGAGGGGCAGGAGAAGGAGAAGGAGAGAGAGAATTCCAAGCAAGCTCCATGCTCAGTATGGAGCCCAACATAGGGCTCAATATCACAACCCCAAGATCATGACCTGAGCCAAAAATCAAGAGTCAGATGCTTAATATACCGAACCATCCAAGCACACCTTAGGTTTGAAATTAGTGCCCACTGAACACTATATACATGTATTTATATATACATGTGTATGTATTATATACGTATATAACTGTATATAATTAAATATATAATTATTAAATAAATAAATTTAATAAATTATTAAATAAATAATAATTATTAAATAAATTATTAAATAAATAAATAAATAAAATTCTGGGAGAACACCGAAGGTAAAAGTTATAAACATTAGCACGCTGGTACACTTTTTGCTATACAAATTATTATTCAGATGGATTCAGGTGGATTGCATTATAGCTTTGTAATATCAACAAGAAATCTGAAAAATTATAACTTCATATTCTAAGACTTTCTGGGTAGCCACAATATTGATGTGCCTTCACAATCACTCTCCAGGTTGAATAAAGAAGAGGTGTTAACAAAATTGCCTACTGACCCTTTCAAACAAGGTGATTACACTTATAGTTCTGTTATAGAACGTGATTTTTCAGGGCTTTTAACAACAATAAACATGTTTAAATGTTAATAAAAATGCAGTGAATTTAAAGGAAGAAAAATGACATTTCTGAATAGCAACCATTATGACACAAGAAAAACTGCAAGAAAAAAAATGAAATGAAGAAATACTTGAGCACTTGAAATAATTTGAAAGTGGTCTGCTTTATTTTTACCAAAAGCATAATTATGGGTGAAAGTGTAACTGGAGAGAGGGCCATGGACAAAAGTGATTTATTTGGTCTTCTTCCTTAAGGAGGCAAACTACCCATTAAGACCTGGATTACAGAATAAAGTACCATCTAATTACAACCACAAATAAAGATAACATTCACTTAAAAGTAAAGATGGGTACAATTTGTGAAAATATAAAAGTACCCCGGATAAATTTAAAATACACACAAAGTGGGGGAAATAACATTGATCTGGAAGTGGCACGAAAAAGTGGCACATATAGAATATGATACTTAATTGTGGTCTCTATATATTGAACCCAAAGCTATTATGGAATGTAGGATTTTCTTCCGTCTCTTTCCCAGAGCGCTGGGGTGGGAAATTGGGGATAATCGGCTTCAAGAACTTGAACTCACCAGTCCCAGATCCTTCCGTCAGACACACCTCATACTGGTAGCTGTGGGACAGGGTCCCCGCGCCACTGACGTCCACCAGGTGGCCCGGAAACGGGCCCTCGGGCACCGAGCA